CATGGCAGGGGGCTGGAACTAGATGATCTTCAGGTCCTTTCCAACACTAACTACTCTGTGATTCTAACCAAAAAGACCTTCCTAAAGTCAATACATGGATAGGGTTGTTGAGCAGCTGTGTTCCTCACAAAGCAATATCCAAATTGATGTAAGTCTTGGGGTCAGCATAGCTTACTGTAAGAGAGGTACAAAGGGCCAAACAGTGCAGCACCCTTACACAGGGCTGATGATACCCTCGCTTTATTACCAGGTTAGCCCTGATCTGGGACATGACCTTGGATGAGTCACTCCCCTGTGCCTCTGGCTGCCATCTAGCCAAGTAGGCTAAACTATTTGGTGTGAAGGCTGCACGTAACTATAGTTTAGTTTGGCAGGTAGCACAATTGGTTACCGATACTGCCAAAAGCCGTCAAGCAAAACTGGAATACAGAGAGCAACTGCAGCCAGTCACTTGCAGAAACACCATAATCAGATGGAGTCAAAAAGGCTACACAACAAGGTGGCTAGGTGGCTCTCACGACCAGACTTATTTGCTCAGTCATCTGTGTCACATGGATTCCCAAGTTTACCAAAGCATTTCTTTCAGGGAGTCTGAAGGTGCATCTCTACGCCAGATACAAGCATTTATATTTAACAGCATATTCAATAAGCTTCTCTGTACAGCACTTAAGAGTGAGTAATTAAAGGAAATATTACTGCAGTAGAGCTTCTCATTAGCAACCTAATTAGCCTTCTGAAAATAATTAACATTCCTTTCTATAAAGGGAACAGATGACCCATTACATCCATTAGACAAGCAAAACAAATGCTGAAGGTAGGGGAAGATTTGTTCAGGGAAACAAGAGAAGCATCCAGCAGCAGTATGACTGAAAAGGAAGATGTACAAATGCCAGTGACTGATGAAGACTGGACTATACAAGTGGACGCGCAGGACTCGTACACGCCTATCTGATGTGTGCATCCAGCATTTATCACACTGAGCATTTTCCTTTTTCTACCTCTATGACCCACTGATAAGCCATCAGCTGGGATGCTGAAAAATTCCATACTCTGACTTGTTTTGAAAGCCAGCTTTAACAGCTCTCAAGTTCAGCCATTCAGAGTCACAAACAGCTCTCTCTACAGGCAAAAATTCCCCCAAGGTCATATGTTCTGACTATTAAAATGCTCTCAAAATGACCATTAAAATAAACAATGATTTCATGTCACATGCAGCCCATTTCAGTGGCCACTGAACAAGGGACGCGATGGCTATGAAGTGTACATGAAGATATATACATGAAGTATACCTCTCCAAGCTTCACAGAATGGAGCTCTAATAAGTTACCATGCCCTGAAGCAGTTAGGCTTATGTTTCTTGATCAGTGCATGTTTGATATCAGTGTGAGTGAGCAGAGTCACAGGCATCAGTGTTGCGCAATGTGTGTGTATGTACAGATGAGAGAAAACAAAGGATACAAGTCAACACATCCAGCAAGAACTCTAGTATTACAACAGTCTCATGCACTGTTTCAGTGCAGAGCGATGGACAAAGGAGAAATAAGCCACAATGGAGATGAGCTTCCTAACATCCACAACCTCAGGTAACAGCAAATATATCAAATCATGAGCATGCAGTTGCATTTTCAGCCATTTCCATGTTTGATGTATATTTACATTTTCCTGGCAGGAAAGCTGAATACTCACAGCTTTCAAGAATGATTGCAGCGAGGGCAGAGCTCAGCCGTGCAAAAGCTTTCACAGCTATATCACTATGGAAACCACAAATCCACAGCCTGCTCATCTACTTTTGCTGATTAAAAAAACACAAACCAATAACATAAGGTAAAGGTTTCTTCCAGTTTATCATCATCTCATTTCTGTCATGACCACAGGAGGACAAACATGTTTTACCTGCTTCAGGACCAACCCCTACTTCCTTGAGATCGTTCTTCATGAAACCTACTCCACCTCTCACCCAGCTGGGGAATCTCCCCCCCCCAGGATGCTTCCACCACTTCTTTCAGTGAGGATTCTTCAAACACAGTCTGGGATTTTAATCTTAGCTTCCAGGGCTTCACTCAGCTTTCAGACTAGGACAACTCCAAAGGCAGCTCAGTGTACAGCAAATCCACCTAGCTGACAAATCCAGAGAAGCTGAAAACTGCTCTGGACACAAGTTGTGGTGTCTTGTTTTGACTGAAGTACCATTCACTTTGTTTCCTCAAAGTTCATTAAGAACATCTGAAGTGCTCTCAAAATGGGGTAGGGCACGTTACAAGACAGCTGTAAACGTAAGAGTTAAACTTTTGCTTAAAGAAGCCCATAATTTCTGCAGCAGTTGCTAGTTACAGGTAGCTTTTCCCACACTAAAAATCTGAACACCTCTCATCAAAAACCTAATAGCCAAGTGTCCTGGGTTCAGCAGTAGCAGTCATTTTTTCTCTTTCTTAGCGGCTGGGAACAGCATTGATAACACCAATGAAATTCTGGAAGATGCTGAAAGAAAATAGGGGGAAATGCTCAAAAGTCTGCAATACAGAATGCATGGTGCAGCCTGGGTATGTGAAATGGCTGAAGAAATCTTCATACCAACCAGCAGGAGAGAAAAAGAAAAAAGAAAAAAAAAGTATAGTAAAACCCCTCTGCATCTAAGTATGTGCATTTTATGCCAAGGAACAGCCTCTGAACAATCCTTCAGCAACACCTTACCAGAGCTTAGAGCAGTTCATGGAATAATCAGAGGAGAATTTAGTCCCTGAAGCTCCATAAGTCCTCGGTGCCTTTCAAATTCAGCTGCCAATTGACAACCACTACACAGACAAATGCCCATTAGTAAACAAGTTGTGAAAAACATATTTCACAGATGCTCCCAAACAGCCATTTAAATACATTCCTCTCCACAGTGAGAAAAATCCTGTCTGTGCTCAGGGAACTTTTAAGACACTTTGGCTTCTCAGCAAGACAGAGCTAGGCACAAACTGACATAGTACAAGTTCTCTTACAAAACCCAAAGCCATACTACATAAAAGTTGCAGCCCCACTACCTCCCTTTTGCAAAATGGGCCAGAGTAGTCAGTGCTTCCATCTTGGTCCTAACTCACTGCCTTCACCTCAAAGCCAATTCCACGCTGGCATTACCAGACACAGCCCAGTTTCATTGATGTCACAAGAGTTCCTACCAACAGCCCACAGGAAGACCAAAGGTGACTTCTGTGTCCTTTTGGATGTCACAACCACACACAAGCCAGTCTCATGGAGGACAAGCTGAGTGGAGTGGTGATCATAGTCTGCAGGGTTATGCCCTGGCTTTGGAAGGAGATCTGTCTGCATCTCCAGCAGACAGCATCCTGAACAGCCTGAGTGGATGGAACATACCGGAGGCACTGGAGGAGTCAATAATTCAGTCCTATTCTGCTGTCAATGGATCTATGTTGTCCTGTGCCCATACAGTGCTCAGTTTTTGTTTTAACAGTAATAGATGTCTGTGCTTCCTTTGATGGTTCTTGAGGGCATGCGATCAGCAGCATTTGCTCTGCTCACAGCAACAGTACCATACACCAGAGCACTTGTCAGAGACAGCTTTCTTCAGAACTACTCATAAGTGCATCATTGACAAACTGGCTCTGCCATCACCAGTAGCCTTCCCAGGAAGCTGCTGACACTTACTTTGTCATAACCTTGCAGCACTGGCGTGGACTTTACTACTCAGTAGATGACACTTTTTGACGAACTGAAGCTCTGTATTCAGCTACACAATGGGCAGCAAGATCACAGCTGGAGCTTGAGGCAGCAGCTGACCCTGCCTATTCACACTGTTAGCACTGCCACAATTAAGTTTACTGCTTTCTTTCAGCAGCTGACTGGGTCTGCTTCCCAGTCTGAGAGGGACAGGGGTCTATCAGAACAAGAATGTTGTTCCGCAAGAGTGGGACAACAGAATACCCTAGCACAGGATCTCTTGGGCACTGCCATAGAGGTTAATGAGCCCCCTGATAGAGGATAGGCTGAGGGAGGAAAGTGCTACATCAATCTAAATTTTATGTATGTAGCACCTACATATTCAAAGCAAGTTCCCAGTTAAAGTACTGTGCATGACCTACCCATGGAACCTTATCCACAACAGGGAAAACACTGCACTGCAAGCCTGAACCACTGCAAGCCTGAACCACTGCAAGCCTGAACCACTGCAAGCCTGAACCACTGCAAGCCTGAACCACTGCAAGCCTGAACCACTGCAAGCCTGAACCACTGCAAGCCTGAACCACTGCAAGCCGTATCAGGGCACTTTCACTTAACCTTCTGTGAGGGCACACCACCACACACTGCAGACACACAGAGTGCTCTGAAACCCCTACAGGATTTGAAGATTGCCATTCTATTCCCACAATGTCCAACCCATCTACCAGGATCAATATAAAGTTTTGCTTTGGGATAAAAATCACCCTTTCAATCTGATAGCATTTTACATCCACTCTGTGGAAGCGTAACAGACAAGAGACTGGCAAAACAAGCCTAAAAAGACTAGCAGCATAATACACTGGTGAATCAGGTGCAGAGACTGCACTACTTGTTAGGGCCAGGAATAGATTCCTCATCATCCAACTCACACCTGTGCTCCTGTATTACTGAAGAGAGCAACCCTCTGCTCTTTACCTACTGCTCTGGTTTAGCTCAGAGATACTGCTCCACTGTCCCGATTGTTTTAAATGCCTAAGGGTATTTGACTGTGAGGTTTTAAAGAGACAATAACACTGGAATAAGTTTGGCAATATAAACTGCAACCAATTGGAATTATGTGGCTCAAAGCAGACAGAAATTGAGGGCAGTATCCAAATTACGATCCTACACTTCCAGAAAGCAATCTGATGGAAATAACTTCACATTACTTGCCATCCTTAATACATCCTACAGATCTAAATTTCAAAGGTCCCACTTGACAATGCAGTCAGCTCTGTACAACTGCTCTGGTTTTCTGGTTCATGAGTGCACTCCCACCAGTTTTACCCTCCAGCCCTTACCTTTTCCAGGGAGGAATCCTGGTGCTCTCCCGCTTCTTGGTCAGGTCCTGGTTCACACCATTCGCAGGTCGACTGGGTTACCTCCAGCAAGTCCAAGCTGTTTCAGATGCCAGCTGTTTTCAGACCAGGTGTGTGTGACCAACAGCTAATACACCAACCAGACAGCCTTCCTAAACCAAAGAAGTACAGTTTAATCTTAATGAAATACAGTGCAAGAGCAGCTTTAAACACTGAAAGAGCTATGTGTATGGAAAACTTAGCTTGAGTACATTGGGTCCTGGCAGACCTTACTTCTTCAGAGCACCGGGGGGAACCTGTACCTGCCCCTTACCCAGGGCAGTTCCTGGCAGCTGCCACTCCTCTGATGAAGCCAAGTCTTTCGACTTGCCACTGTCCTCCTGGATACCAGCCGCAGTAAACACACTGAGCAATTTCACTAGAGCCAGTGACCAAAGGTTCCTCACTGCTACTATCTCAGCCAAGGTCTTGGTTAACCCTTGACAGGTCTACCAGAAAGTGCTTTATCTCTATTTTCCCAGCTATCTCCCAGTATGCAAAATAGTCCTTGCTGACTCCTTTCAATCTCAATCTTCCCTTTCCTAACTTTGCCTCCCTATCTCCCCCACCTCTCTCCTCCTCACTTCTCCAATCATCACACTTTTCTTCTCCTCCCTTCCCCACTCCAGGACAGTGTGTGGCCTTTGTGTAAGCAGGCCCTTGCCACTGCCACCCCCAGGCCACCCCAACCTGTTCCTCCAGGCCCTGGTGCTGCCTCCTCCCACCACTCTGGTCACCTAGCTGCGTTTCACCTCCATCCTGGGCTTGAGCAGCACAGCTGCATGACCCAAGCAAGCAGAGCCCATCAACTGGGGCTGTACTACTTCTCCTCATGCACTGACATTTAGGATGCCACACTCCCAGTTTTCACAGGAGTCATGCCTCAGGGCGCCAGCTCCAACACAAGTATCTAACATCATAGTCATGTCAGCCTCACAGATCTCACACTCCAAGGGCGTGTCCATACACAGCATTTTAATGGATTAACTGCACATGAAGAAGTTAGAGCAAGGACATTTATGTGTCAGACCGTAACAAACGGGATCTTCACAATATCCTAATGAATGTCAGAATTTTTGAGCACCAAAGTCCAACAGGAATTCAAGAGAAACATTTTCCTTAAAAAATATATATATAAAACCCCACACAAATTACAATTTTATTTAGATAATACTGGACTACAAAACCACCCCCATTAAAAATGTGGATTAAATAACTAATCCTCCCCCAGCAAAAACCTTCCCACCAAAATTAATGGAGTGATGAACAGCATAAAATCACTAATTACATCAATGTAACACAGGTATTCTAGAGACACTTTCTGCCTATGTACTGAGGCTTGCATCTACTTTGGAGACTCTCTTATCATGAGAGATAGTTGCTGTTTTAACAGCCAGGTATTTTTACATCAAATCGGGAAAGAACTTGGTTGTTAGCCAGTTCTGGTATAAATTGTTCTAAAGTTGATGTTTCCAGAAATGATTTGCATGTATTCTATTTTCATTATGTGCATTTTGTCACAGCTGGATATAGGTTTCCACTGAACTATTCATCAGACACATGCAAACAAGATTTTTTAGAAGTGTTTCCCTGGAATCACAAGAACACTGAGAATGCTTTTTACAGTCAAACCTACTTGTCTACGTGATTTTTGTAAAAGACTAAAAAAATCATACAAAATAAGCAACTGCAACACACTCCCAACTCCTTCAGTGCAGAAATATGAACACTCCAAAAGGCTTCAAAGCCAACCTAACTTTATGACAATGCAGTCCTGCTCAGTCAGCCCCCACCCTGGCACCAGTGCTCAGGCCACCCACAGGACTTCACCAGGAGCCAGACCAAGGAACTCATCAGCCGCTGAATGCGACCCCCATGCTATCCTAACGCCTGTTAGTTCTCAGCTGTAACACCTCTCAGATCTGGCTCACAGGCCACTGTCCAGCAGGGATAAGTTCCTTCTTCACCAAAAAACCTTCAGTTCTATGAATGCAAAGTGCTGGGAAAACCACACCTTTAGTTATGCATGTATCTACACTTGAAAGAAAATAGTAATTCAAGAAACTCTTCATTAGCAAGGACCATGTTGTAACACATGCGAGGAGAAAGGCAGAACTTAAGGTTGAACTTTGTCTTCAAAACCTGTAATGTCTGTTGTAGGGAAAACAAACAAGCAAGCAAGCAAACAACAACAGTGGTGTGACCATTCAATTGCATGTACAGAAATAGTTAAAATCTAAAATCCATTAGCAGGCCAGACTCGGGCTTCCCAAAACAGCACTTGCCCATGCTCTGACTGTTCCTGACACAGACACCAACATTCCTGGTGTCAGCAGGTTGGGGACCGCACATTAGCATAAAGTAGCAGTAGTGCTCATGAAGCTAGAATACAAAGAACAAGCAAAGAAAACAGAAAGCAAATTCGTGGAAAGTAGTTTCTTGTGTGTTCCTTCAACTGTCTATTTCAGTATTATATTTCATTATTCCCAGAGTGCTCCAAAAAAGAAAGCTCAGTTCCATGCAGCTACCCAGTGATAAACTGTCTGACAGAGAAACCAAGTCACAGCACTGCTCCATGACTTATCTGGGATTGTCCTGGGAAGAAAGTGCAAACAGAAAGTGAGCATCTGTCTCCTCAGAAACCTGCTCTGGCAGGACTTACACAAAGGGTGATGCAGATTTCTCTTTCAACTGAAGTCTCAACACACCTACTGATGAGGACTTTTGAACCTGCACAAAGACCAGCTGGGATATGAACATCTCTGAACCTAGACTAGTAGACAAGAGCACAAAACATGGAAGATTTGGCTGAATTTCCTTCCTTTAAGGACTGAATTATCTCAGAGAGACACAGAGGGCATGCACTGCTACACAGTCCCCACCTCCTGAAAAGGAAATGCCTCTCTTCTGAAACAACAACAAAATAATTGGAAAACAGCTCTGTAAAGCAACAGCTTGCAGTTACCAGAGGAAAACAAGTGATTTCCAAGATTAGGAGCATCCTTTCCCAGATACCTCCAGGTGATAAGGTCACTTATCTCTACTGAAAACTGGCAAAGCCTTGAGAAGCACATTAGTCCTCCAGAGTTTCAGATTTCTTTTAAAAGCCACGCTGCCCCCAAATAGCTGAAGAGGCTTGGGCAGATGCCTGCACCCACACACACAACTACAGTATCTGCAAATGCTTCTGTGGTTATTTATTGCTAAAAGCAGAAATGTGTTTAGAATAACTGCCAATAGACTTTAGCTTTTGTTGTTGTTATGCTGCAATCTGTTAAAAAAAAAAAAGGAAAAAAAAAGGAAAAAATCCCTGAAACTTGGGTTTAAAACTAACACGCTCAGACTCCCTTGTGCTGCTAGATCTGTCTTACATTATTAGACTCTCACTTTTTCCTTTGTGTACACTCATCCCTGCTTATGTTCCTTCAACGTTGTTACTGCTAAGGCAATGCCAATGAACCAGCTGGGTTCACATTCAGGTTTTCATGCATTACCACAGCTTGCAACATTTTTGGGCCATCAGGCCACTGAGTGTTTTAAGACTTCCACATACCCCTCCCATCTACCTTCTAACATAAATCTCTCATAATTTTCTTATTTTTCATGGTCCCAAGGATGAGTTATGGACTAATTTTCATAAGCTGCTGAACCATCAAAGACCCACAGACACATGGAAGGGAATGGTTAGTTACTTATATACACTTCATTATCTTTAAGAGCTCATTTAACATTTTTTTCTGTTGATTTCAGGCTCTGTGAACACTTCCCTAAAACTGGGGTCAAATCTGGTCTCACAATATGGCAGGATAAGCAGGAGGCGAGTTAAAAAGGAGCAACTCTTACAAAACTCCACCTACACTTGCTTTATGAAGAAGTACAGAACACATGTCACATTGGGAAAGCAAACTCACTGGCTTTTTGGTAATTGAGAGCAGGGTACCGTTGCCTAGCAACTTATCTGATTACCATTTTTCAAGTATCACATGCACACTTAGATATGTTGCATAATAATGTCTCAGTTTTATGCTGTCTGACCCAATGGCAAAAAAGGGAGGGGGGAGCTACCAAAATTAATGCCTTCAGTCTCTTTCCTGGCAAAAGAGAAAATACAAGAGAGTAGCTCAAAACCAGGTTGAAACACTGTTATTTCCAAATTTTATCCCTGCCTTTTTCTGGCTTGCTGAATGTGCTTATACAAGCATTTTATTTTATCTACTTGTCTGCAAAATGACACTAATAATACCAGCCTTGCAGAGACACACTGAAAATTCATTACGAATAGAGAGATTCTCATATGAAAGATGCAGTGGAAGTGCTGGTGTTAGCACTTACAACTTTTTAGTACTCCAAATGTTTCTGAGCCCTGGTCCAAAGCGTAGCAAATTTTAATCATTGTCATGACATTGTCTAGTCCTTGTTTCTCAAAAATGTACCTCAAATCATGAAAACTGCATTTTTCTCATCAGAATGTGACAGTCGGAAGAAAAAAGAAAACGTAACCTACTCCCACTGTCCCCTCGCAAGGTAGCATACCCCAACTTGGAGTTGGAGCACTAAGCATTACCACAGCTCTTGGAGCTCGTATCATAAAAATCAGAGGTGAATCAGCATATGTGCATACGTGACATTTTTAGAAATCGACATGCTCTACTTATTGATCTCATCTTTGAAAAACTAATTACATTCTAGCTAATCCATAAAAGAATTAAACATTTAGTTGCCTCTATGGTGAGCAGTAATACCTCACAATACAAACATCAAATTGAGGCACTGTTTCCAAAAGGATATAATCATCTAACAAGAGGAGTTGGAATCTAGAAGTCAGTCTTTTGCACAACCACGAATTACATGCCAATATAACATAACGTAATAAACTGCCTACTTTATATATGCACCTGAGTCTTCCGTTGCATAAAACGGCAATGGCTTAAACCTGCCCAGAGCACTCCTGATCCAATGGTACCCTCTGTCAGCTCAAGTGACTGAAGCTGATGTTTTGGAAACTCAGTATCTCACCTCCATGGTAAAGTATTAAGCAGCAAAGGAAAACCAAAAGCCAAGCT